TAAAAGGCTGAAACTTATAGGTTATACCTAGCATAATCTTCAAATGGGGCTTCCGATAATCCGTTATGCTACAAATAATGCCTTGTGAATATGAAGGTATAGATACTTTAAATACAAACGAAAACCTTATTCATGCTCATGCAGAATATTTGTATCAGCGAAGGTATCTGTCGTTAAGTAACGTTGCCTGAACTTGCCAATGACTTCAGGTATTTTACAAGTTTATTTCATCCCATTTTATAAATATCGCACATATCTCGTCATAGGGGTGGATCAAGTTCCTGTATTAATTGTTTTTCAAATAAACCTACAAAGTTAAGCGTACGTAACCCGAAATCTCTCATTTCTAACCTAAGAAATGCTTAATTCAAAACAAAACTGACAGGTAGTACATACGAGATGGGCGGTTCTATTTTTAGTACATATGCAATTATGAACTTATACCTTACTTATACATATGCAATTATGAGAAATATATAGTGACATAAAGTAGTTGTATATAAGGATTTTAGAGGAACCGATAATAATGCATATCATAATTCGCTAAAATATAGTGACGTTATTTGAGCGTTATCATAGAGTAAATAACGTTTAGAGATGCCACGGGATAGGGATTGCTGGTTTATAACAATTTATGGCCATGCAATGCTGCTATCTAGTGACAAATGCTGGTTGCTGTATTCGAATCTGTTATATCCGTCTATAGGAGTCTTTAAAAGAGCTTAAGATATTTCAAAGCTGAGCTTTAAATGAAATTACGTCATCATTCATGAAAGTTGCGATTGCAACTGTACTCCAGTGTAGGTAGGTAGTAAGTAATTCGAAACCGCTACATATTTATAGTATGAGTAAGTTCATTCACAACGAGGGACCTACCAGCTGATTTCATTCTGTTTATCTAAAAATTAACTATCAAATCCAGTATTAACCGAACACCTTAAAAAATGTTAAAAAGTTGAGAGAAAAAACTTTCAATTGTAATAGTTATTTGTACAACTAGTTTTGAAAGTGTTACTTTTTTTCATGAATTTGCAGTTTGAATCAAGCGAATTCATGAAAAAAAGACACTTTCAACATGTGTTGTACACGAAATTTTTTTGCATAGTGATCCTTAATAATCTATAATTGCATAATATCATTGACATTCGCCATTTTCTGTCACTCAACAATTGAGCTATTGGCCGTAGACAGGACGAAACGCCATGGAAACGCATAGTAAAAATCGTGAAAAAAGTACCACTTTCCATACGATTTTTTGACAAAAAAAGTCCGGTAAATTGATAACTATGCAAAAAAAAACTTGCAATTTAATAAGAGTTACCTACTCGATTCATAGAGGTATGAACGTATTGGTATGGTCATTGGTATATCGTTGGATTCGTCTTGACACAGAATACAAATGGGAACGTTACCAATTACGAAACAGTCACATTTACTTCGTTAATTATGCGTAAAAAACATTTTTAAATCGTTCTGTTATACAATTTTTCATGGATTATTCCACAGCAAACGACAAATTACACAAAAATCCATATTTTATCAAAATGTCTCATTTCATTTATTTCCATATTAGTCCAGGCCACGGTGGTATAGACCACCGTATACCACCGTGGTCCAGACTAAAAAGCTAGCTGCTAAAATAATTTATTTAAAAAAAAAATTAGTTACGGGGCAAAACCGGGTTTTTCAGGCAGGTGAAATGATTATAAATTGGGGAAAAATAATTAAAACAGCTAAATTTTTCCGCGGGTGAAATCCCGGGAGTTGAAAGGGGTGGAAAGCGGTACATATTTTGCAAATTGTGGGAAAGCAATTAATTTTAGACGAAAATGGTCAATACAAAAGTTATAGAGAATAAAAAAATGAACAGCTTTTGTATCTGCACTATTTTCACATAACCAGCATAACCTCCAGTTTTCCTAGAAAATCCGGAAAAATCGTTTTTTTCGTTTGAAATTTGGAGGAAACATAGCTTGTTTTATTATAAAAAAGGAGAGATTTTTGGGACCGTAAAGTTGAACCGTTTCCGAGATCTCACAAAAAACCACCTCTTTTTCAAGGAGATGAAAAATCTATCATGAAGTTTATTCCAGGTTTTATATCTCAATTCTCAAATCATTTATTGTTTTGGCCGGTAAAACAGACGTTCTTATAGGGAATTTTATTTTGCAAGTTTATCAACAAGCCCAACGCAATTGCATCAGCTGTAAAACATAGCCAGGAAGAAGAGTAAGTGAACAAAAACAAATTGTTCAGGAAGCGATTTTACTTCGAATTGCTTTTATTGTGGTAAAAATGCAGAAAAAAGAAATAATAAAGATGTTTTAACTAAAACGTTGAGCATAAGGAAACAAAAGACAATATTTTAGCAAACATTAAAGATAAGCAAGAAGATAGATTTCGAAAAAATCTTTATTAACATCCAAAACGTTCATTGATCATGTCAAAAATCATGTATATCTTAAATCTGTTTTTCCAGTTTTTGGCGATTTTCTAGAAGTTTTTCTATAGGAATAATAATTTTTATTTTTGTTTATTAAAATATAAGTCTTCCCTAAAATTTTACTACCCCCCGCACCTCTGTGCGATGAAAAAAAATAGATTTTTCATCTCCTTGAAAAAGATGTGTTTTTTTCAGAAATCGTGATATCTCGGAAACGGTTCAATTTTCCGGTCCCAAAAAAATTGTCTCCTTGTTTGTAGCTACGTTTCCTACAAATTTCAAACCTTTACGACTTTTTTTCGCAAAAGTAAGAACAAAAAACGAAAAAAGGTTTTTCCGGTTTTTCTAGGAAAATTAGAGGTAAGTAATGTGAAAATAGCGCAGATAGAAAAGTTGTTCATTTTATTCTCTATAACTGTTACATTGAACATTTTCGCCCGAAATTAATATGTACCTATTACCACAAATTGCCAAGTACCACTTTCCACCCCTTTCAACCCCCGGGATTTCACCCGCGGAAAAATTCAGCTGTTTTAATTATTTTTCCCCAATTTCTGATCATTTACATCATATCCATATTACAATAAATCATAGTCGCGCAGGCCTTGGTTGGAGGTATTCGTTGACGTGATGGTATGAGTCGAGGTATGAGTTGTTGGTGAAAATGTGAAAAATTCACCGACTTGACTTTTAAATTTTTTGGCCGACGTAGGCGTCCGCAATTCTTGTGGAAGATGGTAGAACAGTTTGATCGCCATGCACCTGGGGGAATCCTCGAATAGTGTTGTGTCGCACAGAATTGCAGAATTTGATGCTGATTAATTTTCCCTTTCGGAGTTTCTTGTAGCTTTACAAATAACGAACTTATGGTCAAAAACCGAAAAATGTTTAGAAAATGCGGTGGCGTTCATTTATTTTCAAAGATACGAACAAATAACCATTAACAAAACCCTTAGTAATTTTTTCTCAGCTTTCTAATGGTGCTAACTTAAAATTTTCATGACTTGTGGGTTTCGACTAAATCACATAAACTTTTTTATGTCACATTGGATTTTTACGTCACTCGATCGAGATATTAAATTACAATGTGATCCAGTGATGGACATTTCCAGTAGGTAATTCCGTATTAGGTTTAGTAGGTGGTGGTTGATCCTTGGATATATCAAAATTCAAAATAGACTCAATAGAGTTGAATAGACCGCTAACCATAGATTTTCCTTTGATAAAGCAATGAAGCGATGGATAGAGAAGATAAAATTTCTCAAAGCAGCTAACAAGTCGCGTAACCATGCATGTTTCCAAAATTTTGGGAAAAACGGAAACTATTAAATATAATAGGTCGATAGTTTCTTAGATACCCATATCCACAGACCACAAATGCCCCCAATTATCACGAAACACGATACGAAAGAGACATCGCGTTTTAATTATTGTTTATTGTGCAACCATGCAACTTAAAAGATTTAGCGTAGATTGCCGGATGAGGTCAAATTAAATTCTCTGGTAATCAAATCAAAATATAGGAATCTACAGTAGGTTATTAAGCAAAACAAAAGGTCAATATACCCCGATTAAAGGCAATTTTGCCGAATATTGCAAATATCTGGGTTTTATGTCTTCAATTAATAAATATTTATGGCCCCCCATTATGTAGATAGGTATTTAAACATGTCTTCATTCAATAATATAACCCTTTTTTTTAATTCTTGGCGCGCACATATTATAAATAATAATATCCAGTCACAATGTAGACGCAAGTTATGAAAATAAAAACCATTTTGCTGGCTGCGCAATTTATAGGTATGCAATGCGTGGGACGTACGACATGTATACAGTTACATAATTATATCATAAAAAGCTTGGTACTCGCGAGCTTTTAATTGCGTAGGTTTGAATCCTAGACGGAAAATAAGTACACTATTCTGGAATTAAGAGGGAGACACTTGATGCATTCAATGGCCATCTATATTCAAGGATAGTCCCTAGCCGACAAAAATTTACACAGCGCGGTATCTCTAAACGTTGTTTACTCTATGGCGTTATTTAATAGTCGTAGATAAAGAAATATAATTAAACGATTAGAGAACTGAATTCTATTAGCGCCAGTGATTTTCTCTCGGATTTTCTCTTTAAAATTGAGCTCCAATCACCTAGGTCCATTTTTTTTCTATATCTCAAAATAAAGGGCGTTGCCATAAGAAAGTGTCCAATTTGAACCACCCTGTACTATCGTCGGTCGATACATCTTAATTACTTGTGTAATTAATTATTTTCTCTTAGAAATTCTCTCATTAGAAATTTTACTAGTTGATCAAATTAATTCATGGAAAAATGTCAGAATTTCCACCCGTGCCACTATACGACAAAATGCCGTAAGCAATTTTTGATGCTGAATGCTACAGGGCTAAAAGTAAAAAAAAATGTATCCCTCCCATAAAGAATATGAATTAGATCCAAGCATTATTTCAATTAACACAGAAATTTACCTACATCAATACTACCAACCTTAAAATAATTAAAAAACTAAATAGGAAAGTGGGAAAAGCAAATAGTTTACCTCCTTCAGTCTCGTGCCACACTATTCCTTCTAATGTAACACTTGTTCCAGGTTCGCAAGGGCCTAAGCAGTCGGGTTCTGTAATTGTTCCAATACTTGTGCCCACACAAACGTCGTTTAGTTCCTGTAATAAAAAAGCAATTTTAATGGTCTGCAAAATACAAAAACAAGGGTTTGTTGTGGGTACCACCTATACTTGCAGTACTGAATTCAACACCATAAAATATGGAGCGTAACTCTGGGCCAATCGAATCAAGTTGGTCAACTCACTAAAGCAATCATTCTAATCCACAAACAATAAGGATTGCAGAAAATTAGAATATACCTACATTACAACTTTTCCGTAGGAATGAAAGATGGGAGACCCTAATGACTTGCTTGGTGAAACCTTCAATTTCCTAAACATACATGTATCACTAAAAATCAAAAACAAGCACCTTGTTTCGTGGGCGCAGTTTCCTTTTGGACGGAGGTAACAATCGTCCGCGGTTGCCTTCCTCCCGAATTTTGTATACCGTTCGAGTTGAAACGCCCGTCATACACGAAGTTCTTTGTACAATTTTGGTCACAGATTCGTTACTTTGCACTTGCAACGAAAACCCGTAATTTAAGACATTTAAAATGATTTGTTTCGTTTTTACGTCGAGCAATTCGCCCTGCTTGAACTTAATTATCGATGTTATCGGTTCCATCATTATGCACTGAATGATTTGAAAGAAAACGCAAAAGCAATGACATTCCTCCCGCAGCTGTCGCTTAATGTCGTGTAATTAAGGGAGTTGATAAGGAGATTATATTAAGAATCAATTAAATGCTGGTCTTTTATAATTACAATCATTATATCGCAAGTACGGCCTTTAGTTGTATCAGTAGGTGATCTAGGAAAGGGAATTCCACATTTAGGATTTCAAAGTTCATAATCGATCGATATTTTTCGTATCGCGACACGTAAACACACCCATAAATATCAAATTAGTTACACTGTAATCAGTACTGAATTATTGATCTGATAAGTTCGTCCTTGAACTGACTGAATGGACGAATAGGTTGAATCAACTAAAACAAAAACAAATAATCAATCTACGCATACGTGCGAACGAAGAAATGTACATTTTAACACGTGCGGTTTCGTTTTAGAAAAGGTTCCGCTTTGTAATGCTCCACTGAACCATCGGCATGGTACTTGACCTCGTATACCCACCGACAGTCAATCACCATCTTACCGACCCAGGAACTTGGTTCCAGGTGTGATTTTCATGGAGCGCATTTACCCCTCAGTCATTGCCACTTTCCAATTTTTGACTGGAGAATTTTCAATGGGTTCGGTGTAATTAAATGGTTCAGCTTCATAAGCTATCATTGAGTTGCACGCAGGCTTTCGAGGCTGGCCTGGGTTCGTGACAGTACACAACACTTCACATGCTTTTTTTTCTGATTTTACTTTATGGATGACAAAATATTTGCTAAACATTGCAGCGCAGTGGTCAAAAGAATAGTTTCATACGGTTCATAACCTGTATTGATTTTGAAACAAAATTCATCAAGAACCACAGAGGAGGGGAATTGCAAAAAAATATAATTTAGCACCACCTTGCCGCCTCCTCGAAAGTGGCGCCCTGGGCTATAGCCCAGTGGGCCCATTTATAAATAACCCCGGACCTGCTTTTATAAAGACCCATCCGTATTACTATATCTAGTAGGAAAACATCAAACAAAGTCAAGTTTACAGCTGACTTGGCTGACTTTGACCATATGGCGAACATGGTCCTATAAAACTTCAAACTCATTACCAGGACCCACTTTCTACATCTTTTATGGAATCAATTATTATGAATTAAAGTCAACGATTAACTATTTTCTTCACGTTCACTGTAAACACATATTGGGTTACGACAACATAATAGGTTTCTCGGTAAAAAAAACTTTATTGTTAGGCAAGAAAGTAAGGAGATCAAAGGTATTACAGATTAGACGTAATCGAGAACGTAATAATTGTATTCCATAAATGAGAATGTTAGTTAATTCCTTACTCGTTCTGACGATCTAATCTACTTATAGTTGCACTTCTTACGGTTATACCAAAGCTCGTCTTACTATCGACCACCCAAAGCCGCCGAAAGATACAAGCCGGGATGCTGTTTTTATTTTCATGTGAAAAAATTATCAAAGTCCTCGTATGAGATCGAAGGGACGCTTTTTTGTGTGGCAGATCAGTATTCTATTAGCCAGTTTCGACTCCACCATCAGTAAGATCTTGTCGAAGGCTACCACATCCCCCCCCCCTCCCCCGAACAAAATTCCGATGCTTATGGCCGTTTATAAAATATTTCCAAAAATCACCAGATTAGTATAACACGCTCGAGGAGGGCGCCCAGATATCGCCGACCCCCCATCATGTAGTCCCGTCCCTAAAGTTGTTAATTACACGGCCCCGGTAGGTACATGTATACACTCCTTCTACAAGCCGGCGTTTGTTGTCAACCAGCCAGTTTCGGCTCCGGTTAACCATCATCAACTTTGTTTTTTCTTATAGAAGTAATTTTTACTTTTTGTGTCATTTGATAGAGAATTTTTTTCTAATTTCAAAAATGTAAATATCACTATTTTTTAATATTGTTAAAATGTCTTCTTTTTTGCCTGGAAGATTTTATCTTGGGTAGTGTACGTACGTAGTTTCTTGCGTGTTTACGAATTAATAGGACTATTTGTGGTTAAAAGATATTGATTTTTACATTTTTAAAACAGAAAAAAATCTATCAAATGACACAACAAGTTAAAAAGTAATCGTAAACGATTTACATAAAGCGCATTTCCACTTGCATTCATTTCCCATTTGTAAGATGCAACTTCTGTTAAAATCGTAAAAATCCGCCCACAAATATGAAAGATAGCGTTGCACATGGGCAATCCATTGTTGACGTGCTACTTCAATTTCAGTTTATGAGAAGAATTTCATTTCAAGGCTTTTCTAAATAAGAAAGTTGGAACTGCGCATGCGCAAACCTAAATTTTAAAACTAATGTTAGATTTTCCTTTGTTCCAAGCGCCTAAGTAGCAAATTTCACTTAAATAGTTCCATAGATAAAAAAGTTGGCACGGCGCATGCGCAAAATAAAATTTTGAAACTGGCGCTAGATTTTCCTTTATTCCAAGAGCCTATGTATCACATTTCATTTAAATTCTTCCATAAATAAAAAAGTTGGCACTGCGCATGCGCAAAACCAAATTTTGAAATTGGCGTTTGATTTTCCTTTATTCGAAGTGCCTATGTATCAAATTTCGTTTAAATTCTTCCATAAATAAAAAGTTGGCACTGCGCATGCGCAAAACCAAATTTTGAAACTGGCGTTTGATTTTCCTTTATCCCAAGTGCCTATGTATCAAATTTCATTTTAATTCTTCCATAAATAAAAAAGTTGGCACTGCGCATGCGCAAAACCAAATTTTGAAATTGGCGTTTGATTTTCCTTTATCCCAAGTGGCTATGTATCAAATTTCGTTTAAATTCTTCCATAAATAAAAAAGTTGGCACTGCGCATGCGCAAAACCAAATTTTGAAATTGGCGTTTGATTTTCCTTTATCCCAAGTGCCTATGTATCAAATTTCGTTTAAATTCTTCCATAAATAAAAAAGTTGGCACTGCGCATGCGCAAAACCAAATTTTGAAATTTGCGTTTGATTTTCCTTTATTCCAAGTGCCTATGTATCAAATTTCATTCAAATACTTTTATAAGTAAAAAAGTTTCCAATTCGGTTTATAAATGGTCGAGATGCGAAAAGGGCACTGTGAATTTGGAATCGATTCGATTCAACTTTTGGCATTGCGTATTATATGGCTAAATCTATGCCCATATTGAATTTCATGCAATTCAGTTCATAACTAACGGAGATGTAAAAGCGATCGAACATTTCTAAACAAAGTTATCGTTCACACGGACAGATAGATGGACAGACAGACAAAGGAACAGACGGACAGACCAACAGGCAGACGACAGATAGCAATGCAAAATTATAAACGATCTCTAGGATCGTTAATAAACGGCAAAAGTGTAAAATTATGGAACATGTAAAAAACGGTTTTTTGTTTTTTTTACAATAACTTTTTTTGTAAGCGGTACAGAAAAAATTCCTTCCTTGGTACAAGACTCGACACCATAACGAACCAAATAGCGAAAAAAGTAGAACAATAGCTCTTAAGATAAAAAAACTAGTAGCGTCGCAAAGTTAGCGGACGGACGGACGGACGGACGGACGGACAAAGTGGCCACAATAGCGCATTTTTTTTTTATTTTTGTGGAAATGCGCTAAAAAGTGAAAACTAAGTTGATGTTGGTTGACTGGAGACGAAACGTCAAAATTAAAATGTAGAGCATTTTGCAAAATTTCGTTTTTTTCCGGATATCTCCGACAGTAGTCGGAATTTTTTTAGTTTCAAAACTGCATTTAGTTAAGCATCAAAATACGCAACTTTATCAAATTTAAACTACCTACCTATCTCTTACAGTTCCCGAGATCCCCATGGTGGCCCTCGAAGTTGTATCAGCCTGTATACCTAGTAGGTTATTGTGTTGCCCTTACACCTGCGTTAGTAGTTTTGTCTGTTCACAAAAAGAAATTTATGGTGCGTACATAAATGCACTTTTGATTTTAGATTGCCGTTTTATCAAGATCTAGGATACGTAAATGAATTTGATCATTTTTAGGGGGAAAAAATTCCCCTTGTGTGATGGTTTTGTCCGTCCGTTCCTCGCCTAACTCGAGAACGAAAAAAGATAACGATGTCAAATTTCAGTCACTCTGTAATTGTGCAAGCCTGTTGAGGGCCCAGAACAAGAGAGGAATAATAAATAAATGAGCCGGATCAAAAGTCTGGTTTCCAAATGTGAGTTGAGTGGCAAAAAAATCCCCTACTGAAAATCGTATGCGATTCTTCGTATCTTGTTAATATTGAATCAGCAAAATTGTTTAGAGCGAATAACAGAAAGTTTCTAATTTTGACCACTAATTCGTTCTACTTGATCCGTTGCATTTAACAAAAAGCCGATACAACTGAATACCGAACGATCCTCGAGAGCTTCGTCCATACATCATTTTTACAACACACATTAAGAGATCAGCATAGGTTGTAAAACAAAATTTTGAATCGCCGGCATTAGTTTCTAGGTCCGTACATACATTCCATTTAAATATGTGAACAAATAAAAACAAATTTTTTGACCGGCATCAGTTTTACTTTTATTTGAGGTGCCCACGTACAAAATTTCAATTAAATACCTTAACAGATAAAAAATTTGAGATGGCGCAAATATAAAAGTTCGGTCGCTTATGCGCAATTTTTTTTATCTGCATAGTTTACCTGAGGTTTAAGGAATATTTACCATATGTTCTTTGTAACAAGAATTATAAAAGAAACCCTTTTTTGAGGTTTGGGCAGTTTTTTAGCTGTAACTTTTCGGCCCGTTAGTCTACGTAGACGAAAAACAATAGCGACCTTTCTTATATTCTGAAGATGTTTCAATTTTCAAAGCGATCGAACGTTTCTACACAAAGGTCAAAGGATAGACAGACGGACGGACACGCAGGCAGCAATATAAAATTATAAACGATCTTGAGGATCGTTAATAAATAACAAATATGCTTGAACGGTTGGTGGATTGTTGGTGGCCTAACCACTTGTAATAAGATTAAAATCGAATCGAAAAATTGTTTAGAATTGATTGATTCCTCGATTGATTCATTATCCTTCCTCTTGCGATGCTTTCATTCCCTTAAATACGTACTTGGACAAGATTTCGTACTAGAATAGTTATTTGTTTCATTAGTACAAAAAATGTCAGTTTTCGGGACGAAAACGCATTTTTTGTACGAATAAAACATACCATTTTCTCGCCAACCCCCATTACTTTAAATTATATTCGAATTTAGATTCAGTTCACAGTTTCACTACTAGTTTGAGAACTTCTGCTTTCTTGTCCTCACGTGTCATGCCGCTCTAGTTTTTAGGTTAACTTATAACCTATTCGTTCTTACCAATGAACAAAGAATATTCTTTATTGTTATTCATTGGTTCTTACTTCTTAGCAAAGATCATACTACACTAGATAGACAGCGCTGTATAAATTTTAGACTCTCATAATTCGTCCCGCCACATAAGTCGACTGCGTCCTCCAGCGGCTATGTTTTTATGAGAATAGTACAAACTACCTGGCGGGGTAAGAAGACGCGCGAAATGGCAAAGCACAGTTATTTTTAGAATAAAGGGCTATTGTATGGGATATCGACACTTGCAGATGTGTTCCACACTGACTCCCTGTACTGCGCAAACGCAAGCGCGCTAAAATTTGAATTTGCTTTAACCTGCCACTGTTTGTTTTGTTTATAATACCAGTTCCTGCTGACTTCCATATTACAAACCAAATGTCGCTGTATTTTCGGAAAGAATATGTTCTTCTTCTCGAATTAAAGCCTTCGGTCACTACTGTGAATTCCAGTTAAATACATTATAGCGCCAACTTGAAAGAAAACCTCTACTTTAGCTATCAGTCATGATCCTTGTAGTCTGGTTTTTTGTGATTCGTTCAGCACCGGACTCTCTCTTTACCATAGGTCAATGTTGGTCTGTAACGTTATTGCTGTAAGTAAATGTCATTAACTCTTTCCAATTAACTATTACAGTACTTACCGAAGCAGTTTCCTAATATCGCCTTTGGCATATTCTATGACCATGCACTCGAAATGTAGATAACAACAAAATTCATCTTGATAACATGGCATTTTCATATACCTACTACATATAATAGGTAAGCTAAATTATCTTCAATTATAACGTTTGGCGGTTATGTGTATATTATTTACCCCTTACACTTGACCGCTGTACACAAATTCAAATTTTAGCGCGCTTGCGTTTGCGCAGTACAGGGAGTCAGTGTGGAACACATCTGCAAGTCATTCTTAAGCGCAACCTTGCGTGGGTGTTATAGATGTTTTTATCTGGTTACCTTACTGTAAATTAAAATTCCGAATATTCACATCTTGTTTTAAATTAAATTTTTTATTGTAACACAACGAAGTTGAGGTAAAGCTTATGTGCTCGTGTTTCCGTCTGTCCGTCCGTCCGTCCATCGAGATCTCGGCCCCTGGGCCACTTAGAGACTTCGGGTTTTCGCTAATTGATAGCCGTTATGGTCTATATTTGCCCATTTCGATCAGTTTCGTATTTTCCATATTTTGCGCACACGGCGCAATGCCAACTTTCATATTTATGGAGATATTTCTTTGAAATTTTAACCACAGACGCTTCTAGTTCCGACTCACTTTTGCTGGACACAATTTTATTATGTAGGAGGCTAAGCGGGATATCTCGTTTATCCCGATCATAAAATGCTTAATTACAACAAATCTAAATTAGATAAATGTGTGGTTACAATGTAAATATGCCTGGATAAGTAGGTGCATATTATATTTGAAGATTTGCTAAAGTATCGTTTTCAGAAATTATACTAAGAAAAAAGACGCTTTTGCAATTATTAATTTAATCCGAAAATCTGGAAAATGTATTGGTTAGCGCTGGTTAAAAAAAGTAATGGGAATATTGTGTACAACTTTTAAATTATTTCTTTCATTGTAACGTCCTGTCTGTAATAGAATCTACCTTGTCTGGAATGACGCCCACTTACAAATGTAATTTTATCCCAATGATAGTGAGGGGTGTTGAGTAGGTCCTGTTTATGTGTCTCGTGTTTAGACAATAATCACTCTTTGTATTTATGATATGATTCGAACTCGTACGAAGACGGCTTCGGATGAATCAGTTACGTTCTTAACTTTGAAAGCCCCCTATAAATATTTTTATGGAACTCCTTAAACGCGAAACAACTCTTGCATATACGCTGGCTATCTAGTATGATCTTTGTTCTTAGCGACTAGCGTAGGTACACGAATGCGTACACGTATGATTACATTTACTCAAGTATTAGTTTTGAACTTTATTGATAAGGTGTAGATGCTCGTGGAGGGCCTGGCAGCTTAGATCATTGATCTGAGCCTGGCAGCATCGCATTAAAGTCAAACACGTCAAGGTATGGAAATGTTTTCAAATGTTGGATTCAAAATGACAGATAATAGTGCAATGGGTCTGAAGCAGATGGCGTTACGCGCGACGGCGGGTTATACCATTGAATTTATAACTATCAGAAGCGCGGATCCCATATAACAGTTTGTGACCATGTGCCAACTGGCCGCCGCTAGGAGCAGTTCGAGCGTTTGAAAGTCCGTGGGCGATCGAAAGTGGAGCGTTACATTGACATTAGATGGCAGCATTACAAACCATTTATTTTGACCTTTCGAATATTTTCCTTTTTAATCGTCAGATGTCAGGAACTCCGGATGTTTTTTGTGTTATCATTGGAATGGTTTTATAAATAGGATTGGAATGTTCTAAAAATAGATCCCTTAAGAAGCATTGCGTAAATTTGTAATGTAAATAATAATACATTTAGACGAACGAAGCTTGCAGTCCTTGTCCTTGAAGGAATGCAATTTCATACATTCTATTCACAGGCAGTAAAATAGGCAGGTTCCACATTTTTACTGAAAGCGGGAGATTTTGTTATTAAAAAACGATCAAAAAAATTTTAAGGCAAAATATTGTCCGTTGCAAGCAGGCAGCTACATCATTTCCACATTCACATTTGATAACTAAATTTCGCGAATCAGCTTTTTTTATAACCATGCAGCATTGTGCACAAATAAATCGGTCCCAGTTTACGTGAATTCGTATACCTACTAGAGCTGAGCGATAAATGAAATTGTTATCGATTTATCGATAAGTCTGTTCAGTCTGATAATTATCGATTAATCATTAATTGATAACTATCGATAATTATCGATAACTTTAATCACTTATCGTTAACTTTCGATAATAATCGACAATTATCGATAAATCGTAAGGCTAATTTTCGATAATGATCGATAACGTTTGATAATTATCGATAACTTTTTATAATTATCGATAACTTTTGAAAATAATTAATAATGATTGTTAGCTGCTGATAATAATCGATTATTATTGCCACGAAAATTGTCTATCTCTGATATTTATCGATTAATAAATAAGTAGCGGAAATTATCAAGAGAAAACTATCGATACTTTTTCATAAATCTCATCGATATATATTCTCAATCGATATATTACATCATCCATGCGTACACTCGCTAACATTTTTGTTTTTTTGGTATTGATATTGCGAGAGATAATTTAAATAAAACAGGATCTTTTGATGCTCAAGTTGTCTGAAATCAAAGGTGATCAAGTGGACGATAATCCTCAAAAATGAGTACAGCAGTAGGTTGTGAATTGTGATCATATGACAACTCAACAATGCTCTTACATCGCTTTTGTTGGAAGTAAACTGGTATACCTAAACATTGAAAAGTTTATGTCGTATAAAAATTCTCTCGATAATTATCTATCTTAATAGTTTAGTTGTGAGATTAATCGATAGATTATCGGTAAATTATAGGTTTATCGACCAATCCTTTAACATTTTCGATAAATTACACCGGTCTACAGCATTTTTGCGCATGGGACATATATACCTTATTTTTATTGCTTCTATAGCCACAAATAAGAATTAGAACAAAAAATGGTTATGTATTTGTTTTTGTGTGAAAAAAATGCAAAAAACCAAAAAATAAAAATACCTATAGAATCCTACTTACATAGGCATGATTTATTAAATGGTAACGTTTCTACATTTATAATTTGTTTATCTTAGAGTCTAAATGTTTAAAAATGGAACAGTTTTGCTGTTTTTGTCATGTTCAACTGAATCTGATCTTCCATCATGCTTCCAACTTCCTGGCCTTGGGAAGGTGCCTAAGTTCCATTGTCTCGAGAAAGTGTTGTCCTTATTCCAAATAAGCTCCCATATTATCCTTAAATTGATCTAAATGAGAATGTAACCTGTGCATCTTTATTCTTTAGAGACATTCTATACCCCATGATACAAAACCAAATCCTGTCAGCTCGTCATAATTTTCAGCTCTATGGTTTCCCAGGAAACACTGAACGGGAAACCATGGACTATTGCCTTAAAACTGTTCCAGGATTTTTTTTCCTCTTTGCTAAGTAACCGCGGAAAAATATCACCCTCCATTTTTCTTTTTTTTTTAGGGAAAACAAAGATTCCAGCTTTAATTTTCGCCCCTGAAAGCTTTCAATCAAATCGCTGTAACTTTTGTAAAAGCAAATATTTTCGATGTCTTAATCGCACTTTTTATTTATTTTTGCTTATTATAGTCAGAATATATATTGTGTAAATCCCATGCGCAAAAAATTCTTTTTTTGTTGACCGGTCGACCATTTTTTTAAAATTTATCGATTGACTATCTATTAATCGATAATTATCGATAAGTTATCGATTAACCATTGAGAACAAATTTCAAACGTCAGAATTTAAAAGAAAAGAGGTTAACGACCTTTTTATTTTGTATCAAAATTGCCAGGTGTGACGTGTGATCCTAGATCAGGGGTCGGCAACCTGCGGCTCTTTTGATACCTATAAAGTTGCGGCTCTCCGTATTTATCTAAAGAAATTAGTTCATTTGTTCGAAATTCGCCTTTTTAATTAATCTTATTTTGTATCAAAAGTATACTTGCAGCAAATAATTATCTAATTTTTGACACTTGTTTACTTTCTGGTATTCTTTTGTTTTTTTTATTATAGCCAGCCTACTCCGATGTATAAACACGTAATTAATTAATGAGTAGGTACTTTTGTGAAAAATATTGAATAACCTAAACACTGCGGAGTTTAAGCACAGGGCACCCCTTATAAACATTTAAGAGAAGACAAAAGCGAATAGCGAAATAAAATAGTGGTAGTTCCATTTGAAAAAGAATAGTTATAGCACTTTGAACAAACGGCATTGAAACAACCAAATATTCAGGATGTTCTATTTAAAAAGATCAGTTATTAATTGACATCGTAAAAATGGAACACCCTGTACATTCAAAAATAATTTCTGTAGATCCGCAACCACCAATATTTTTACCAGGTATCTATCAGCTATGTAGGAAAAACCGACGGACTGTTGCAGGACCCTGTATATAGCCAAAAACTATAATATTGAATCAAAAATTATTTGTGGCTCTTTAAGAATTGGGAAATTTTGTAAATTGTAATTTTTAGCTCTTCCGTTTCAATAGGTTGCCGACCCCTGTCCTAGGTAGTTTAACCGGTGGCAACGGTTTAACCGACACACACAAAAATTAAGAATAGATAGGTAGGTACATTTAATTTCTGTTACAGTGATCAAGGATGCCTGCGTATTTTTTGCTTTCCTGTTCAAATGTAATTCAATCTTCCTTAAGGAATGTTAAGTAAGGTCACGATTCATGAAAGGAAGAATGTTTATCTTACGTCATTCAACATCCTGTGTGCCACATAAATGCCTTATAAGTACGTTTCTTGGGTATCTAGAATTCTGTATACAACAATTACAAATCGAGATAGTGGGTTCATTACAGATTCCTGTATAATAATTAACAAAGGTAAAAAACTGACATTATTATTCATCTTTCTCGATGGTAGAGACATCTACGTCTTGTAATTTAAACTATTGAAAACAGTCACATATCCTGCCATTTAACCTGCGCTTCTGATAGTTATAAATTCAATGGTTATACGTACTAAAATTACCTACGTTCACCGAATATAGACTTCCTTGCACCATTGAG